TCATCCAGCTCTACACCTTGTTATCTCAGTAAACCATGTTTATGTCTGAGGCTACAAGATGAGGGGCAGTCGCCACGTAGGGGAGCTGGGGGTGCGATGAGGGGAGGGGTGGGTTGTGACGGGGGAGGGGGAACCCCGATGAGAGGAGGGGGGGGCCGCGATGGGGGAGGCAGGTGCCATTCGGGCATGCCATGGGAGCATATGCACCATGGGGAGGTGAGTCGGTGCCAGGTGGGGAGTGTCTGTGCGCGAGGGTGGGGGTGTGTTGGGGGTGGTGGGTGGGGCAGCGATGGGGGAGGAGGCAGGGGGACAAGTTGGGCAAAAGAAGGGAAAGAAATTTGTTTCTGACATTACAACACTGTCTACAGTTTTTTTGAAAAAAACATTTTGCATGTTTTGTCAAACAGTAGCAGCCAATGGAGAGTAAAGCTCAAATTCTGTGTTGCCACCCAGGAGAATTTCTATCTGACCCCCATACCTCCACTGTTTTCTTCATTGTATCCTTGCAGGAGTCCATTAAACCCTGCTTGGCATATATGACCGTATTGACCTGTAATTCTGTCCCTCACTCCAAGAAGTGAAAACACCTTTGGACAGGTACCCTTTGCTTTACTAAAATGCTGCCCAGTGAAGCATTGGCCCAGCTCGCAAGTCTATCACCAACCTTTTCCCATAGCTGTTTTTCCTCCAGCTGCATAAGCAAGTCAAGTATGTAGGCCATGTGCGACGGGCAGCTGAGGCCCAGCACCTCCTCAGTGATTGGCACTCCACTTGGCCAGTCAGCTAACAGAGAAGCAAGCACGTGCCTGGCGTATAGTATGGAGATGGCTTCATTGACTTTGTATAGGTAGTCCCGAGCTGTCCTCTTGCTTCTCATGTCGAGCTCTTTGTGCAACAGCATGGAGCTTTTAGTCCGTCGTTGTTTGGCAAAACTGAGTTGCAGGTCACTTTCTGTGTTGGTTATGAGTTTCTGGGTCACAGGGTTGGCTTCCTCTGTTGCCTTCTCACAACGCAAAGGCTTGGACTATAAAACAGACAGGTTAGCTTCACCTATCTAGTGTTTAATAAATGAACAAAATCATTACAGCACATCATGAAGATAATTTCAAATGAACTTTGGTTATTCATCAACAGCTTGTGCATTCTTATTTATTATACATTGCTTCAAAGAATTTGCATCAGTAAACCTCAGCACATAGGGATTTGCAGGCTTGGGATAAAACAGATCAAAGCAATCCCATGGCTGACCTTTCACTATAAATGTTTATAAAATTGTCAGCTATCAATGAAGCTTAAATATGTGAATGCAAAAGCAAAGGCATTACGCTAAATCTTTATAAAGCAGGGGGAAGGGTCTCAACTGAGTTAGCATATTTAATTCTTGGTAGCACATTTTAGGAAGGACATCAAAAGGTTGCAGAGAATCCTCAGAATGGTATCAGGGTTGGAAAACTTCAGGTACATGGAGAAACGAAAGAAATTCCATTTGCTCTCTTTAGAGCAGAGAAGGTAAAAGGAAGGTTGATAAAGGTACCCAAAAGCAAAGGCTCTCATTAAATAAACTGTTTCTACTTGCAAAAGGCTTAACAGCCAGAGTTCAAAGGTTTAAGGTAACTGGCTGAAAATCCAGAGGCGACATGAAGCTACGATTTGGAGTGTAATGCCTGGAAGCGAGGTGCAAACAGAGTCAACAACATTTTTCAAAAAAGGGAATTGAAGAAATATTTAAAGAGAACATTTTTGAGGGCCCAGGCTTTGATATAGACAGTGGGACCTACTAGCAAGATCTAAGGCGGGGGGCGGGGGTGAATGCTTTCCTTTGGTGCTCTGTTATTCTACTGTTCCACAAAGAAACAAAATGGTTGTGACATTGTAATTTGTACAAAAAACTGCCTTATTTACAAAATGAATGCATAGAGAACTGTGTTAGTTCTGCACTAAAGCTAAAACCAATAAATCAAAATAGTATAGTTTATTCAGTGGAGAAATGCTATTGCACAATATGACAAAGATGCAGAGAAATTCCCAGCAAATGCTTGAATAAGTAAGTGTGCCATTGTTTTGATTATAAACAGCTGGACAGAATCATAAACTATTCACATCTCTTTGTAATTTTAAGTAAATCATGCAAAGCTGTGGCACATGAGAGTTCAAAAAAGTGAGAAGTTATCTATTTTGGTCCTAAAAGAATAGAGTGAGAGTTATTTTGAAATAGTGAAAAAGTTGAGATTCAAAGAGTCTTGGGAATCTAACTACAGAGATCATCAAAATGCTATTGAGATACACAGAAATTCATCAAAAGGGTTAGTGAACTATGTTTAGTTCTGAGCACCATAGTTTAGGAGGAAAACAATGATAGCTGGACTCCAAGCATTAAATTACAAAGAGATAATTTACAAACTACAGTTATGGTCTCTGGAATTTACAAAATTAAGATTCACATAAATTTCTAAGATACTCAGAACACAATTTGAGAACAGAAACTGTTTCTACTGATTGGAGAGTCGAGGAACAGGAAGGCACAGCCAAAAAGTGAAAGTCTAGAGTGAAGGTAGGAAATACTACTATGCACAAAGAGTAACAGAGGTTTGGATATCTTTCTTAAATGGCAGTTGATATTAAGTTAATTGTTCATCTTAAAACTGAAATGATTAGATTTTTGGTTATAAAAAGGTGGACATAATGCAAAGATGGTTTGAAGAATTTAGATCAGAAATCAGCGAATATCTCACTGAATGGCAGAACAGGCTCAAGGAGCTAAATAGCTTACAACTGCTTTCATGATGGCTTTGTGATAAGGACTGGGTCATCACAAACCTCAGTACCTCTTGCCCAGGAACATGAGCTAGGAATTCTAACCCTGCCAGTCTTGTCTTCTGATGAGGTTAGGAACAGACTCATTTGTTCACAATGTTTCCAATGTGAGAGCGAACAGTCAGCACTTAACAGCAGGTCTTATCAGTGAGCAGACGCAGAACAAAGAACAATACAGCACAGGAACAGGCCCTTCAGCCTTCCAGCCTGTACCCACCCATTCTGCGTTTCCATACTAAAAAGTCTTCACTCACAGGATCTGTATCCCTCTATTCCCTCCTTATTCATGTATTCGTCCAGGTGCTTCTTGAATGTTGCTGTGATGTCTGCTTCCACCACTTCCTCTGGCAGTGTGTTCCAGGCACTCACCACCCTTTGTGTGGAAAAACTTGCCTCACACATCTATTTTAAACTCGCCCGGCCCCCACCCCTCGGCAGTTTGAACCGGTGTCCCCTAGTAATTGGTTCCTTCATCTTGGGAAAAAGCCCCATACTTTCCATGTATCCATGCCATTCACAATCTTGTAAACTTCAATCAGATCACCCCTCAGCCTCCTGTGTGTTCCAGTGAAAACAAATTCAGTCTATCGAACATTTCTTCAGACCTAAAATCCCCTATTCCAGGCAACAACCTGGTAAACCTTTTCTGTACCCTCTCCAAAGCATCCACATTCTTCTGATAGTGTAGAGACTAGAACTGTATCCATTATTCCAAGTGTGGCCTAACTAAAGCTGCAGCATAATTTGTCTATCCCTATACTCAAGGCCCCTGTCAATGCAGGCAAGCATGCTGTAGGCCTTTTTTCCTACCTTATCTACCTGCACTGCCACCTTCAGCGATCTGTGGACCTGCACACCCAGATCACTCCGCATATCAATACTTATAAGGGTTCTGCCATTTACTGTATAATTTCCATTTGTGCTTGACCTTTCAAAATGCATCACCTCACATTTGTCTGGATTAAACTCCATCTGCCATTTTTCTGCCCATGCCTCCAGCTTATCTATATCCTCTGGCAATCCTCCCCACTATCCACAACTCCACTAATCTTTGTATCGTCCACAAACGTACTAATTAGACCAGCCGTGTTTTCCTCCAAATCATTTATATAGACCACGAACAGCAGAGGTCCTAGCACTGATCCCCGTAGAACACCACTCGTCACAACCCTCTATTCTGAAAAGCATCCTTCCACCGCTACCCTCTGTCTCCTATGACGAAGTCAGTTCTGTATCCATCTTGCCAGCTCACTCCTTATATCATGTGACTTCACAGTTTGTACCAGTCTGCCATGAGGGACATTGACAAAGGAACTGTACCCCAGCACAAGCAGACCCTTTTAACATTCAAGGAGCTAATTTATAAATCAATTTAATAATAGTCTCAAAGTGCAGAAATAAATCAAAAAACTTTACCAGTGTTTCGTTTTACTTCTATTCCCGTAATTCAGCCACTCTGATTGCTTGGGATGCACAGCTTCTCTCTAATGAGGCATGGGCCTTATTTTCTGCCCAGTTCAATGCACCATCCGCACAAGGGCATCTCCCTGATCGCAATCCTACCACAGTAACAGACTCAGTTCCAAGGCTGAATAGTGAGCCGATACCTCAATCAGCTCTGTACACTGTATGACATCAGTAGGTTTGTCTTTTGTTAAATAACATTCATAGGGCATGGTCAGCACCAGTATTTAACTCCCATCCTATACCATCTAGAAGACAGGCTTCTTACAACAGTACAAAAGTGGGTCAGAGTGTGAACATGAGTATAGTTGAACTGGCCAAGCATAACACTATACCTGCTGTCTAGCCTGTCACAATCGATTTGGTTTAACCAGGGCTTTTGTGAAGGCTGGAAGAGGGAATATGGTAAAAGGGAAAATGGCATGGGAGGGTAGGGAGATGGGATAGTGCCTGCCATGCCATTTTACCAGCTAAGGTGAAGATGGAGGACACTCTCAATCAGGAAGCAATAAGTGATCCACTTAAGCAGCTAAGGAGTGGCCTTTCCTCATTCACGCTGGCAATTTACCAGTAGCAGATGCACCTTCCGCTGCATGGGAATATCACTTGGTCACCTCCCAGAGGTGAATGGTCTCCTAGTCAGTCACCCAATGGAGGGCATCCAGCTCCTGGCAGTGATGGTCCTTACCTCCTCTACCCTAACAAGTGCCAACACTCACCCACCAAGGTCTAGCTGACTGGCTGTACTTGTCCTGTTGGAGTATGATTCCAATGTGCCCTCTGTTTCCAGGTGCAGTCTCAAGTGGCCATTGTTCCTGATAGCACTCCGGAGACTGACTAGCTATTAGCATTCCAATTGGCCACCAGCTCCTGAGGCAGGGGGCTTCCTTTTTAAGAGACAGCAATTCCTGGGGACAAAATGAGGCAGGAAGGTTTGCCTTCGCTTTCCAGCCTGTTTGCAAGATGTCTACCACAACAGAAGTCAACCCAGTGAGTCTAGCCACTTAAACAAACAGCCATGTACGACCTTAGACTTGTACTCGCTGCCACCTGCTGTAGAGAAGGGCAAAGATGAGGGGGAAAAAGTTAACAATGCATTTTCTCTGACGCATGTTGGGCCAGATCAGAAAGGTTGCAATAATTCTGCTCATTTTACTGTCATCAAGAAATCTAATCTAACATTGTATTAACCTGATACAGAGTAGGAATAGATAGATCAGTAATGCAGATAACTGCTGCTCTGGAAAACTTGCATGTTTTTTAACTCCTGGCTGAGGTGAGTTCTCAGCATGTTGATGATTAATGATAAAGATAAGTGAACAGTTAGCCTCTCTTCTCATCCCACTTTTCAGGACAGAGTGACAGAAGATTCAGAGATTCAGCCCGTTCATTCCAATACCAAAGCACCAATTTCATGCCAGCAGGAATATTGCAGTATTCAGGCCTTATTCCAGGAGCTCAGTAAAGGAAAGATTGTTGCATAGAAAACTTAAATTCAGTTATAATGCAATCCATTTATATGCAAATCTGCTATTAGCAAATTCCTGATGTGAAATACAATTTTCTTGCTATCCAGAATTGACCAACATAGTTAGGACATGATACACACCCATGCTTTTGGCATGAAAGTCAGTTTGCAAAGTTTTGTTTGTACAGACCTGCATATAAACAGAATGCAGAAAATTAAAGAGGGAAAACTTTAGGATTTCTTTTAAAAAGCTGTATGTAAGCTGATGCTGTATCCACTGGTTAAATAAAAATTAAGATTTTTCATTACATGCGCTAAGTGAGGTAAGTTTGATTCTTCAATGTGGAAATGGCTGGCCACTTACCAGTGTGCAGAGCTTTCCCATGATCTTGTGCTGTGGAAAGGGGTGATGTTGGTGAGTGCAAGTTACAAGGGTTGTGCCACAATTTTACCGCTAGTACAAGAAGATATTAATGGGTTATTTAAAATGAAAACAGAAAATGCTGCACCATCATCAATACACAGCAATATAGGAAGTAGTTTATCAGACTTCTACGGCTTTCCTTCATTGGAATAGCGTCTTCTCGGCACTGCCAGTGTGGGTCAGCCCATTTTGTCAGGGGTGTGCGAGAAGAAAAACCTCAAAAGGGAAGATATTTTGTTAGAATATGAGATTTCCTCACATTGCCCTGATACATTGTAAGGGACTAAAAATTCTTTCTTTGTGGATTATTGCGTGGAACATTGGCTCAGAGGTTAGCACTGCTGCCTCACAGTGCCAGGGACCCAGGCCAATTCCAGCCTCAGGTCACTGCCTACATGGGTTTCTTCCAGGTGCTCCGGTTTCCTCCTAAAATCCAAAGATGCACAAGTTAGGGAAATTGGCCGTGCTAAATTGCCCACAGTGTTAAGGGATACATCGGCTAGGTGGTGTAGCCGCGGGAAATGCAGGATTACGGGAATAGGGTGGGGAAGTTGGGTGAGACGCTCTTCGGACGATCAGTGCAGACTTGAGGGGCCAAAGGGTGCCTTTCTGCACCATCAGGATTCTATGTTTCTAAACTGGAAGCCAGACACTGCTAAATGGCTGAGATACAATAAGAGGTTTGCAACTTAGGAAGAAAAGTGATGCAAATTTAGCTGTACAAGGCAATGTTGTTGTCGGAGCAATGAAATTGTTACTTTGCTGAGTGAGTGTGGAAACAGGAGCATGACCACATAGTCTAAAGTGCTGGACTCAAGTTCCATTCTCTCAAGAGGCTAGAGGTGGGCTCGAATCCCACCACTGCTAGTTCAATGCTTGATAGTGGATCAGTCTGTAGAACTTCTGTCTTGGAGGCACAAAGGTTGTGGGTTCAAATCCCACCGTGGAACCGGGAGTCTAAGTTAAGCCTGCCTGATAACTGTCCTTACAGATCTGTAAGAGCAGCCAGTGTTCTCCTGTGTCAGAAAACTTCTCTCTGTCTTTCTTTCAAGAAGGTTGGAGAGACTAGACAGAAATTTACAAGCAAAGATGTTAAATTAAATGCACTGAACAATAGCAACTAGAGTTGAGTGAGGGTGACAGGGACTTAAAACATGGCAAGATAAAGGCAGAGTGCTGGACAAGTTACAGTTTGCCCAAATTGGAAGATGGGTGCCGAGGAAATGATAAAAATAATGCTTGCAGACTTTCCGCAATTACGGGGATGTGTTAAATGTGAAGGTAACTTGTGACAGAGGAGGATGAAAGTAGGGTCTTGGTGATGGTTGAAACAAGGAATTTGGTCCTCAACTTTAATAGGATTTAATAGGTATTAAGGTCCCAAACCATCCAGTTCAGTGGCATGTTTGTGGAAACATGTGTACCTCAAATGACTTTAAGGCATAGCACATTTGATAAGGGTGTGCTGTACACAAACTCCTACAAGACTCAAGTACTGCTACTTTGAGAGAAAATTTAGAGATAGCGTCTGGACAAGTCCACCAGCAGTGTGAGAAGGATGCATCTCTTTGATTGAAAACTGGTTAACGAATTGAATAGCAAGAATTCATCAAGTCATAGTCTATCTCAGCATTTTCTCTTTCATTTAAGATTTTCAGTAAAGTTCTTCTTTTTACCGGGTTACTCTGTATGTCACATCACATTACTAAATACTACATTCTCTATTAGGACTGTCAAGAGATATTATTTGAAAGCAACAGGACTTTAGCATGGTAGAAAGCTGGTTAAATGGGGTGGTTGTTCTGATACTGTAGCTTACTTCTGGAGTTAGGTTAAAATCATTCCCAAGATAGATTTTTTGAGAATCCAGTAGTTCCAACTGTACCCAGTTCTACCACAATCTCTTTAACGTCCAGCTAGCTAAAAAGATAATGCTGAGGAATTAAGTAACACTTGATTCAGGTAGAGGGTGTATTGAAATGGGGAATGCAATAGGACCAGGGCTCTCTTATTGTAGATCATCTCCTCTTACACGGGCCAGGATATTGTGTTGGAACATACTTCAAAGATCTGCTCATAGCACTGGGATTTGGCACTTTACTCAAAAATTAGCTTCAAAGCTAATTAATTAATCTTCAGATCCAAACCTGCATATTGTATTTTATTCCTCCTTGGAACATGAACTGTCTAGGCAAGTTTGTACTGTCCGTCCCTAATTGTCCTTAAGAAGGGGGCGATGGTTAGCCACCTGCACATGGCATTCATGAAATCACTTACCAAACTGAAATAAATTACTATCACTAGACTTTTCATCAATGAAAACCAAAAGACATAGGAGCAGAGGCAGAGATTCAGCCCACTGACGTCTGCTCCACCATTCAGTGAGATCATGGCCGAATATGGTCGTCCTCAACACCACTTTCCCGCCTTTTCCTTATGAACCTTGATTCTCTTCTAGCTTAAAAGCTTGTCTATCTCAGTCTTAAATACACTTAACAATCCAGCTTCTGTCCTAGCTGAGTGACCTCTTACTCTGAGATTATGCCCTCTGGTCCTAGGCTCTTCACACAAGCGGAAACAATATTTTCCCCATCAAGCCTGGTAAGAAGATTATATGTTTCAATAAGGTATAAACAAATCTTCAGCACGGTGGTTTCAAAGTGTAGCTACTACATATGCAGGAGTCTACGACCTCATGGAGGCACATACGCTTGTGCAGATGTTGGAGAAACTGGGCAACCAGGCTTTAATCCCAAGCTGGGCTGAGTATTGTGCAGCAACGTAAAAACTGAGTTAGAGTTATAAAAGCTGAACGTGGAGAACAAAAAAAATACAAAGAAAATAGGACACACCACACATGGTATAACCATCATGTCAGTGTCGACAGCTTTCGTGCTGTGATCTTCTGTACGTGAGGCTTTGCTTGGCTGCCACTTCAAAGACATGGACTGGATTGCCTCATCGGTCGTAATCACGTGCCCGTCAAACCTGGAAGGGGGTGGGGGTTCAAAAAACATAGAACTTCGGTCATCTTTCAGGCCATTCTTGTGAATCATTAACAATGCAATTTGGAAAGTTCAAACACATCTCCCTGAGGTGATATTATAGCAGCAGTGGACAGGCAAGAGGCTGCATAAACTAATATGTGAAGCTATTCTTCCTTAATTTAATTCTTTGACTTCTGCTCATCAGCTGCTGTGAATTCCACATGCTGCAGCCTTACACGCGCAACATTTACTGTTGCGGAAAATCAAATAAATACTAATATTTGAATTAGATATGGTCCTTAGGGCTAAATGGATCAAAGAGTAGGGGTAGAAAGCGAGTTGGAACAAAAACAAAACTTGTTAGGGAAGTTCAGGTCTGGCAGCATCTGTGAAAACAGAGACAATGTTTTGAGTCCAATGACCGTTCTTCAATACGGAATTGGATGATCACTATGATCATATTGAATAATGAAGCAGGGTCAAACTGCCTCCTCCTGCTCCTATTTTCTATATTTCTATTATTCAAATACCAGTTGTGTTTAGACTAATATACAAGGATAAGCAACTACCCAAAAGCTGCAGAAAGAAGAAATCTGCATTTATTTGGGCTTTGCGTGTCCTCAAAGAAATTAGTTTCATTTGAAGTTTATTTATCGAAAATATCAGTGACATAAGGATTTAGATAAATGTTGGCCAATACACTTGGGAGATCTCTGTTGCTTTTCTTCAAATATTGCCAGAGGATCCCTTACATATACTTGACCAGCCAAATGGGGCCTCAGTTTAACATCTCATAACAATCAAGCACTCTCTCAGCACTGCAATGAAGTGCCTTCCTAGATTACATACTCCTGTAATGGGTGGAATTTAACCTTCTAATTTTCTGACTTAGAAGTAACAGTACTCCCACTCAACTAAGGTAACATCTATGGATGGGTGATTCTCCGAGTATAGGAAATGCTTCTAACATTGCTTAACTGTAATCCAAAGAGCTAGGGGTGTTTAAGTAGACGGAGTACGAGTATCAAAAGGCATGTGTTGTACAATTGTACTGTACAGCAAAACTCCCCTGTACACAAGTGTCCGGCTGCTCTTGAGAAATATGCACAATGCACAAGGACAACATTAATAAACTAAGATTTCAAGCAATGTCAATGATGGCCAAATCACAATGGATTTTAATAAATATTTTTCAAGAAAACCTCTACAATCAAAGCTGTACCATATCCAACTACAGAATACCCCACAGCAAAATTCTGACAGGACTTTATACAATTCTAATATTTCATACCCACCTCTTCTGAACTTCGAGGAAAAAGGAGTCTGTTTTTCGCAGTTGAAGTTCATACATAGCTCGCAGGATGTGCAAAGGTGCATTTAGAGCATCGTGAGTTATCTGGAGGAAAAAAAAAATCTCTTATACCAGAAAGAAATATTCCATTTGTTATCCCAGCAATTAAAGGGAAGGCAGCAAAGTACGATCAGAAATAACTATCGTCAATATAAAAATCCAGGGTACTCAGGGTACGAGCCTTAAACTATTTCTTAATCAGATCCTTCTCTCAACAAAGTTTTCACCAAGTCGGAAAAAAAATACGAATAAGCCAAAAATCACTCCATGATTTTGCCATCACTGCCTCTCTTAACATAAGTGTCAAAATGTACTACTTCAACTCTTGACAGGGAATATTCACAGCTAACCAGTCGGTCTACCTGAGAACATGGAGAAGATGTGAAGGGCAAATAGGATTGCTTCTCAAACCCTGGGTCATAGAGTTAGAAATTAATGCACTTCTACTATCTCACTGAGTCAGGCTCAGGAATAATACATTTCTGGTCCAAACGCTATATTTACTTCCCTGGGTGTGTTTTTTTTTTAAAACTCATCAGGGGTCCACTCAGGGCTCAGTAAGATCATTTACCCAGCAGCAAGCAAAACTAGTTGGGATCAATCTCTAGTCTATGCTGTATTTGCCTACTTGAGTCAGGATGGTGACCGATACTAAATCAGCTCAGTTTCCAAAGACAAAGAGACAGAGATTTTAAGAATCCTTACTCTTAATCAATGGTGGCCCATTCTGGAAGAAAACACACAGATTTTGTCAAGAGGATACAGCTATATGTACAAGTTCAATTTCCAATGCCCTGTGAGGCCAAACAGCCTTCTAACACTCTTGAAGAACCATGTTATCACGGCCATCTCCAATGAAGCGATATGGGCACCAGTAGAAATAACCCAGAAAGCGGCTAACACATTTACAGAAAGAAAGGTGCACCTGAATCATAGTTGAAGTCTAGTTGGTTTGGTCCAGTAGCAAAGGATACTTAAATTGTCTGTGACTGTGACAATGGATGTGTCTCACATGCACAAAGTCCTCCTTCATACAGGGGCTGCAAGCTCTTGAAAAACAGTACCAAATCAAACTTATCAGAGATTTCTAGATATGTTAACGATGGCCAAACCTGAGTGAATTGATCAAAACTTTCAGAAACTTTCTACAAGTGAAATTGTACCTTCTTAAACTACATAACACCTCAGCAAAGAGCTGAAGGCCTCAATTTTAATGTTATACTCACCCTTTTGGACTTCAAGGAAGAAGGAGCTACAAAAATGTGGCCCAGGTAATGCCACATCAATCTTAATTAATGAGATAATGGAACCTTACTAATAGTCTTTGAATAATAAACACTACACCACTAATTCTCAACGAACAGTATAAATATCAAAGCAGCCAGAAAAGCCGAAGTGACCAGAATGCTAACCCCCTGGAATTTACATTTTATTTCTGACACATATTCAATGTAATGAACATTCTTTTATTAACAGATACAAGTTTGCATCCGTACCTGGAAAAAGATTTTTGTGGCTTCATCAAGACCTTCCAAGGGATCAGACTTGGTTTCATCAAGGTCAAACACTGAGCCACTGCCTTTAGGTTCATGATCTGAAACCTGCTCCTTCTCCTCTGTCTCACAGTCTGCCCCTTCAGCAGCAAGACTGACCTCCTTCTTTGATGAATACATCATAATCGACAGGGTCTTGGTGGAACAACAAAGAACAAAGTGAGATTAAAATTGAAGTCCAATACAATTGTGCACAAATCTGGTTTATTCAAGACATGGTATATGAATAGTTTCAGTATCGGATGTTAAATGCAGAACACATTTTGAAGAGTTTATTTTATACCAAAAGACCTTCCATCTCTCCAGTCAGCAGATGGAACATTTGTACACAGTAGTTTCTGACCAGTTTGGAATGTGAAGCCAGGAATGGCAGCATACAGAGCTGCTTGAAGCATCTCTAATGACACAGTTAGCTGCACAAAGCTTAAATGATTGCAGAAACATGACATACATACTTAAAAATCCAATACTGGATGAAGGTCCTGTTCTTACCTCCAGGTCACAAAGCAGCCACAGCTTACTAAACCCTGTCCCCTTGGTGCATTTCTTCTCCAGCAGTTTGATCAAACCAGATCGGAGAATGATCGGATGGATGTCTTCAACACTATGTTTCTGCAACAAAGACATGGAAATGTTAGTCACCACAATAATGGAGGAAATTCTCATCAGAAACCAGCTCAACAAAGAAGCCCTGATACAATGGAACAGGGCATGATCACTGCAATAAAAGCAAATAACCTGATTCAGGATCTCCATATATTCATCACCTTTTTTTGAGAACAATCACAAAGACTCTTGTAATCTATGAAATATGGCTTGGGACTCTGCAAGTGTACTCATGAGGTACAACTCACCTCCTGACTCCTCTCTCCCCAAAATCTGTCCACCACTGACAAGGCAGAAGTCAAGAATATGCTGAAATACTCTCCGCTTGCTTGAATGAGAACAGCTCAAATAAAACTCAAAAAGCTTGATACCATCCAGGACAAAGCAGCCACTTGATTGGCACCCCATCCAACAACTTCAACATTCACTCCCTCACAGTATGATGCCCGGGGACAGCAGTGGGTACCATCTATGAGATGCAAGGCTCCTTCAAAGTTACCTTCCAAACCCATGACCTCCATCACCTAGATGGACAAGGGCAGCATTCCCTCTTTTTTGAATTGGCCAAAATTCCAAAGCCACCAGTAGTTTCATTAACAAGCGATTACCTGCAGTGTTTTGTAGAGACCCTTCAGTGCAAGTGATTGGAGCCAGGTAGCCTCCACTGCATCTGGGAAGCTGCTGTCTATATTGATCTGCAGTAGGTGGCTGTAGATTAACATAAAGTGCTGTAGGAACTGGATGAGTTGAGGTTGAGCCGCCGTATATTCAGGCTTACAAACCCGTGCCAACCTGTAGTCTCTCACTGAGTTAAAACAGAAATAGACATTCAAACAGAATGGTTAATTTTCACATCCCAATCACTACACCCCATCCTTTTACGTTCTCTGGTTTTCAACTATTTGTTTGCATTCAGCTTATTTCAAATTCTTTACATACGTGCATATGAACAATGAGCAGGGTAGCCATCGAGCCTGTTCCTCTGTTCAGTAAGATCATGGCTGATCTGATTTTAACTTTAACGCCACATTCCCACTTACCTCTGATAAGCCCTACATGTCCTTCATTACCAACAAACTAACTCTGCATTACAAATATTCAAAGGTTCTGTCTCCACCGCCTTTGGAGTGAGAACATTCCAAAGGACTCCTGAGCCTTAGAGGGGAAAAAAAAAATCTCTTCTTAAATGGGTGGTACCTGATTTTTAAAATTTCGTGACCCCTCTTTACAACCACCTTGTAACGTCCCCTCAGGATGCTGTTTGCTTCATAGCACAACAAATTACTTTAGGTTCCAGTAGGACATATGAAATGAAAAACCACATCCGAGCAAAGCTGGCAGAACAAACGTTGATGAAAGATAAATTAATCCATTGGCAGATGCTATCATCTCAGGAGGGTATCCTGAAAAAAACCTTGCTTTGAACCTGGATCGGTTACAGCCTCAAAGACAGTTCAGCTAATTAATGAATAGAAAGATGAATCCAGATGAGTACCACATGATGCTGCTTTTAGAGCTGTAAATAGTGCAGGGCGCACATTCTGAAAAAACAGCATGAAATTGACAGAGGTATACCGTATTGGAAGTGAATAGACGTTGACTGTCTCCTGTGGGAAACATAGCTAGCAAAGACTACAAAAAAGTGGAATGCTTTAAACAATGGACAGAATATAAGAACTAGTGAAGGGCAAAGAAGTGATCAACTTGAGTATTATTTGCAGAAATGGGTGAGGTACATGAACTGTTTCACCAAAGGAAAAAGCAGATGAAGGTAAGGTAGAAAAAGTAATCAGCCAGTTTGTTTTCCTTAAAAGTATCACATCTGAGAGGTATATGTTTAATGTAAGAGGTTCCAAAGAATCTTCAGGCAGCTAAATGCCTACACTAAAAGACAGTGTCAGATTCATAAATATGCAGCATTAACCAGATCTCTCATCACAGAATACATGGTCCAGGGTTGAAGAAAAACAGCATCATGTCAACATTACAAGGAAACCTTGAGATTGGACCAGAAAAGATGTTTGGCATTGATTCAGGCTCCTTAAAATACACAAGCCAAATAAAGTGAGTTCCACCAAAGACTCAGAAAAGCAGCACCTTAAAGATAGCTGCTACAAATGTGTAGACAGGGAAAGGGGAAGTTCAAGTACAAGAAAAGTACAAGGCTGAGTTCGCCAAATGGTGAAGGGTTTTACAACTGTTAGAAAGTGAGACACTTTGCACATGTCACCAGTGGAAGATGGAAAATCAAAACAAGTGAAAGTGAAATGGATTAACAAAAGAACAAAGAACAGTACAGCACAGGAACAGGCCCTTTGGCCCACCAAGCCTGTGCTAATACATGACACTTTTCTAAACTAAAAACATTTTGCTTCTACTTGATCCGTATTCCCTCTATTCCCTGCCTATTCCTCAGTCAAGACGCCTTGTAAACATTGCTGGGACAACAAGGTACAGGGCTGGATGAACACAGCAGGCCCAGCAGCATCATAGGAGCAGAGAGGCTGACGTTTCGGGCCTAGACCCTTCATCAGAAAAGGGGGAGGGGAAGGGGGTTTTGAAATAAATAGGGAGAGAGTGGGAGGCGGATAGAAGAGGGATAGAGGGGAGGAAACAAACAGGTCGAAGAGGCGGGGATGGAGCCAGTAAAGGTGAGTGTAGGTAGGGAGTTAGGAAGGGGATAGGTCAGTCCAGGGAGGACGGACAGGTCAAGGGGGCGGGATGAGGTTGGTCGGTAGGAGATGGAGGTGCGGCTTGAGGTGGGAGGAGGGGATAGGTGGGAGGAAGAACAGGTTAGGGAGGCAGGGACGAGCTGGACTGGTTTTGGGATGCGGTAGGGGGAGGGGAGATTTTGAAACTTGTGAAATCCACATTGATACCATTGGGCTGCAGGGTTCCCAAGCGGAATATGAGTTGCTGTTCCTGCAACCTTCGGGTGGCATCGTTGTAAACATTGCTATTGTATTTGCTTTTACCACCTAGTCTGACAGTGCATTCCAGGTACTTACCACTGTGTGTGAAAATCCTGCCCTCAAGTCTCCTTCATAAGCTACCCCCAACTTTTACCTTAAACTTGTGTCCTTTAGTAATTGACATTTATACATTGGGACCAAACTCTGACTATCCATTCTATCCAGGCCTCTCAATTTTCTAAACTTCTATCAGGTCACCCCTCAGCCTCCGAGTTCAACTGAAAACAGACCAAGTTTGTCCAATCTCACCCACAGCCAATACCCTCCAAACCCGATAACATTCTGGTAAACCTTTTCTGTATCCTCTCCGAAGCCTCCACATCCTTCTGGTAGTGGGCCAATCAGAACCAAATGCAATATTCCAAATGTGGCCTAACTAAAGTTCTGTGCAGCTGCAACATGACATACCAATTTTTATACTCCATGCCCCAACTGATGTTGGCAAGACGCTATATGCCGTCTTGACCACTTTATCCACTAATGTTGCCACTTTCAGGGAACTGTGGACCTGTATGCCAAGATCCCTCTGTATACTAATATCTTTAAGGGTTCTGCCATTTACTGTATAATTCCCTCCTGCATTAGACCTTCCAAACTGCATCAACTCACATTTATGCGGATTAAACTCCATCTGCCATTTCTCCACCCAAGTCTCCAGCCTATCTATACCCTGCTGTATCCTCTGGCAATCTTCATTATCCACAGCTCCTCCAATCTTTGTGCCACCTGCAAACTTACTAATCAGACCACCAATGTTCTCCTCAAAATCATTTATATATATTACAAACAAGATCCCTGCAGAACACCACTGGTCACAGATCTCCAGTCAGAAAAATACCCTTCCACTGCTATTTTCTGTCTTCTATGACCAAGACAGTTCTGTATCCACCTTATTAGCTCACCACAAATCCCACGTGACTTCAGTTTCTATATCAGCCTGCCATGACGGACCTTGACAAAAGCCTCACTAAAGTCCATGTGGACAACATCCACTGCCCTACCCTCACCAATCATCTCTGTCACTTCCTCAAAATACTATATCAAATTTGACAGACAAGACCTCCTGCTGCACAAAGCCATGCTGCCTATCCCTAGTAAGTCCATTCCTTTCCAGATGTGAGTAAATCCTGTCCCCAAGAATTTTCTCCAATAACTTCCCTACTACTGATTTAAGGCTCACTAGCCTGTAATTTCCCAGATAATCCTTGTTGCCCCTTTTAAACAAAGTAACAAAATAGGCTATTCTCCAGTCCTCTGGGACCTCTCCTGTGACTAACTAGAATGCAAAGATTTTGTGTTTCATACAAGGAAGCACCAATTTCCTCCCTCAGTATTCGGGGATAGATCCCATCAGGGCCTGGGGACTTGTCTACCTTAATGCTTTTCAAACACCACTTTGTTTAATACTGACATACCCTAGAATACCAACATATCCCTCTCTAGACTCACAATCCGCCATGTCCTTCTCCTTTGTGAATACCAATGCCAAGTATTTGCTAAGGACCTCACCCACTTCCTCCAGCTCCACTCAAATTCCCTCCATTGTCCTAGGGTGGACCTATCTTTTCCTCAGCTAGACTCTTGCTCCTTATTTACATATAAAGCGCTTTGGAATTTTCCTTAATCCTATTTGCCAAGGACATTTCATGGCTCCTTTTAGCCCTCCTAACTCCTTGTTGAAGTTATTTCCTGCCTTCTTTATATTATTCAAAGGCTCTGTCTCCACTTGCCTAAACCTTATGTAAGCCTCATTTTTCTTTTTGACTAAGCTCGCAACTTCTCGTTATCCAAGGTTCCCGAATCTTGCCATCCTTACCATTCATTTCCACAGGAATACGGTGGCCCTCAACTCTATTCAAGTGGCTTTTAAAAGATTCCCACATGTTAAATGTGAATTTAACCTCAATTAGCTGCCCCCAATCCACATTCCCCAGTTTCTGCCTAATATTATCATAGTTAGCCTTCCCCAAATTTAGTGCTTTCATTCAAAGGCTACTCTTATCCTTATCCACTAGTATCTTAAAACTTACAGAATTATGGTCACTGTTCCCAAAATGGTCCCCCAGTGAAACTTCAATTACCTGGCTGGGCTCATTCCCCAATACCAGGTCTAGTAATGGCCCCTTCCTTAGTTTTACAATTTACATATTGCTTCAAGAAACACTCCTGGACGAATCCACTTCCCCACCCCACCCCCAGTACCTTTTGCAGATTCATGATGCATGGGGTGGGGGGGAGAGAGAATGTGGAATGACCTATTCGGGTGGTACCACAGCTGGCTCTGACTACTGAGTAGTAGTAACGGGGGACTCTATAGTCAGGAGCACAAATAGGCAGTTCTGTGGCTGCAAAAAAGACTCCAGGATGGTGTGTTGCATCTCTGGTGTCAGGGGTAAGGATGTCTTTGAGTGGGCAGAGCACATTCTCAAGAGGGACGGCAAGCAGTCAGAGGTGGTGATGGTACTCATTGATACTATTGAATAGATACACAGGAGGTTCAGGGAGTTAAGTAGCAAGTCGAAAAGCAGAACCTCTAGAGCTATAATCGCAAGATTACTCCCTGTGCCAAATGCCAGCAAAGCTAGGAATAAGGTGATAGTTCATGGCTAAAGAACTGATGTGGGAGGGAGGGCTTCAGATATCTGGGTCATTGGGAGTCTTCCAGGGCAGGAGGAAACCCACAGACACAGGGAGAATATGCAAACTCCACACAGATAGTCGTCCGAGGCTGAAATTGAACCCGGGTCCCTGGCGCTGTGAGGCAGCGGTGCTAACCACTGAGCCACCGTGCCGCCCTTAAACAAGGGCCAAGACAAAGTAAACTGTAAAGACCACCAACACAGGCCAACCATGGGAAAAATCAATTAAACAAAGAACCAGATAATGGAATTTGCACAAAAATTAATAACAAACCACCCAAAAGGCAGACCAACATCAGTGCTCCAGCTGGACCATCAGTCAGAGCTAACACAGTCTGAGAATTTCAGAGAGATATTTAAAAACAACCAGTGTTGAAAAATGCAAGAGTGAGTTAACTCTTTAATTAGTGCTGAAAAAACCTCTTTACTGACTTATATGCCTAATCAAAATATTCTAGTTATAAAAAAGGAAGAAAAATATCCAGGCAGTATAAAAGTGATCCCACACAGTCAATCTGATGATCGCAGGTAATCTTTGGAAACAAAACAACAGAATACTGAACCTCACAAATATAAACATCAGAATGCTCAAGAACCAAAAGGCAGAATCATCAAGAAACACACTAATTTTTCACAGTGCTCAGCAGAAGTATATTCCAGTGATAAGGAAGAACTGTAGCAAAAGAGAGAGCCAGCCATGGATGTCTAAGGAAATAAAGGAAAGTATCAGATTGAAAAAAAAAACACATACTAAAAAGCAAAGAGTAGTGGGAAACTAGTAGAGTGGGAAATCTTTAAAGGCCAACAGGAAGCCACAAAAAAGGTTATAAAGAAAAGTAAGATAGATTATGAGAGTAAACTAGCTCAGAATATAAAAACAGGCAGCAAAAGTTTCTATAAATATGTAAATCATAAAAGAGTGGCGAAGGTAAACATTGGTCCTTTAGAGGATGAGAAGGCCAATTTAATAACTGGGAATGAGGAAATAGCCGAGACATTAAACAATTATTTTGTGTCAGTAATCACAGTGGAAGACACAAATAACATGCCGAAAACTAATGGCAAGAAGGTTATAGCAGGCGAGGACCTAGAAACTATCATTATCACTAAGGAGGCAGTGCTGGGCAAGCTAATGGGGCAAAAGGTAGACAAGTCTCCTGGCCCTGATGAAATGCATCCCAGGGTACTAAAAGAGGTGATGGGGGAAAATAGCAAATGCAGTAGTAATTATTTACCAAACTTCAATGGACTCTGGGGTGGTTCCCGCAGATTGGAAAACAGACAATGTGATGCCACTGTTTAAAAAAGGAAGTAGACAAAAAGCAGGTAACTATAGGCCAGTTAGCTTAACTTCGGTAGTGGGGAAAATGCTTGAATCTATCATTAAGGAAGAAATAGCAAGACATCTGGATATAAATTGTCCCATTGGGAACAACCAGCATGGGTTCATGAAGGGTAGGTCATGTTTAATTAATTTGGTGGAATTCTTTGAGGACATTACTTGCATGGTGGACAATGGAGAACCTGTGGATGTGGTGTATCTGGATTTCCAGAAGGCATTTGACAAGGTGCCACACCAAAGGCTGCTACATAAGATAAAGTTCCACAGTATTACAGGTAATGTATTGGCATGGGTAGAGGATTGGTTGACCAGT